ACAGGTACATTTTCCATGCAGGGATCCATCAGCAAACCCATTATGGACCTTTAAGAGAGATAGTTGGGGGAAAAAAACATTGCTGTAAACCAACAGATATAAAGCACTGTGTAGGTCAAATGGGATTTATATGATAATATCATCCCCCCAGAAATGCTGGTAGGTTAGGAAGGCTTTTGAAATGGCATTTAGACCATATGAATCAAAAATAGTTATCTAAAACCAATACAAATGACAACCCAAAGTAATAAACATGGAATGGGCAAAGAGCGTTCTGGGGATGTCTTCAATGTTAATCAGCCAGCCAACAGACAAACAGAAAGAGAAGGACATACCACCATTCTATTAACCCATTTATACAATGTAATGGAGGAAAAGCTGTGCAGCCTGTTAGTAAAAAAAAACAAAAAAAAACTGTGTGGTCAGTCCTCATATACTGTATATATACATGCATACTGCTATACTGCAGGGGTTTTTTAAACTTATTTCTCAGGTCCACATCTGATTTTTATTCAAGGTCAGGTCTGGAACGATTGGTGATAAGAGAACAACATTTAATCAAATAACTTATAACTTTTAATTAATGTCATATCTCTTGTGAATAGGCCAGCATGAAACCGAGGCAGACACGGCTCAGGCAGTTAGTCCATATTTATTTCTGACTCAAACATATTCTTACAACTACATTTACACTAGTTATAGAACTTATGTATTAGAGAAAACAAGACATATTCCGTATCTGCGATTTAGCAGCTGATAGCAAATTCTCCAGTGTAACGTTAATCCGTGAACTCTGCAGCAACAACACAGAACACTCTCTTCAGCAGTTAACGTCATTAGTGATAGATATGAAAATAAGCCACATTAAAATTAGATTCATCACTGTGAATGATCTCCAGCTGTATATTCAATGTCATTAACAATTTATTGATCAATAGAAAAAAAATAAAAATAGAAAATGTTACACATCATGATGTTGTGTAGACATTCATAATGCAAGGTATGGTCTGGGTCTGGATGTGGACCCTGGTCCGGTCTTGAGAAGCCCTGTTATATGTTATTTAAATACATACTGCAGGTTTATTCAAGTATAGTTTATCATTATTACAAACTAGTGAGGAAAGAATATGAGCCCATAGAGAGCCTATATGAGCACACAGTCATTAAACAAGCAGAAAAAAAAAATTTGTGGACCCTCAACATCCCCTCTTCTCTGAATACGAACCTCTGCCATCAGGAAGAAGACTCCGTGTGCCAAAGTGCAAATCAAACAGACTGAAGTTATCATTCGTCCCGACTTCTATCAAGCTGCTGAACTCCAATACTAAATCATAGTAGGGCAATGTGAAATAAACAAACCAGCACCGTACTACTTCTTATAGTTTCTTACAGTCTCCTTTTAAGCTGCCACATTGTCAGTGTTAAAATGTAGTGTCTTCCATGTTTTAAGATGTTTTTATGTTGATTTTGTAATTGTTTTTTGGATGTGTGTCTGTTGTTGAAGGTAGCTTGTTTCTGTGAAGCAACTAACTGTAGCACTGTGCCCAAGACAATTTTCCCCTCGGGGACAATACAGTTTATTCTATTCTATTTTACTCAGTAATGTAGAATACAAACCAACATACTCACACACACACATTCACATTCACAGACATACAGTTAAGGTCAAGGGGGTCACATTTTATGACTCATCTTTTAATTTGGCTGTTGCACATTGTGTGTGTGTTTACTGTATATATCTTAATGAGTTAAGTGTTTCCTCATTAGCACATCATTACAGGGTAACACACTGTTGAGGGTACACACCCATAAATAAGTAGGTGCGAACGTGTGTTTAACTTTTTTTTTACTGCTTATGTGTCTTGATTTCTGTATCCATCTCACTATTTCTGTTACATGCATTGATGTGTGTGTGTTTGTGTGGGAGTGTGTTTACTGCTGCTGATACTGAGAGTTAAGAAAATTAAACATTGAATTTAACTGCGAAAGGGACTCATAGATAAAAATGCAGCATATAAAATATTGCACAGTGTTAAATCTTGTCAGTGCTCCACCATATTCACCAAACGGATATATCTGTGATTAGACAATATTGACTTCAGTCAGTATCAGTCAGGCTCTATTACACGCCATTTGTGAGTTATACAGAAACTGAATGCACCTGTGTATGGGTATGTGTGTGTGTGTGTGTGTGTGTGTGTCAGTGCATGTCACTCTTTTCCCTTTCTGCTTTAATGTACAAAATAAGATAAAACTGTCCATATCAGCAGAAGAAGTCTTTTTCTGGGCAGGCAGAGCTGTCATAGACCTACTG